AAGTGCAAGGTCCTGCACCTAGGCAGGAATAATCCCATGCAGCAGTACAGGCTGGGGACTGACCTGTTGGAAAGTAGCTCTGCCGAGAAGGACCTGGGAGTGCTGGTAGACAACAAGTGAAGCATGAGGCAGCAGTGTGCCCTTGTGGCCAAGAAGGCCAATGGTCTCCTGGGGTGCATTAGGCAGAGTGTTGCCAGCAGGACGAGGGAGGTGATCCTGGCCCTCTCCTCAGCCCTGGTGAGGCCTCACCTGGAGTACTGTGTCCAGTGCTGGGCTCCCCAGTACAAGAGAGACATGGAGCTCCTGGATTGAGTCCGGCGGAGGGCTACAAAGATGATTAGGGGCCTGGAGCACCTCTCCTATGAAGAAAGGCTGAGAGAGCTGGGCCTGTTCAGCCTGGAGAAGAGAAGACTGAGAGGCGATCTCATCAACGTGTACAAGTATCTGAAGGGGGCGTATCAAGAGGATGAGGCCAGTCTCTTCTCCGTGGTGCCCAGCAACAGGACAAGAGGCAATGGGCGGAAACTGAACCACAGGAAGTTCCACCTAAACCTGAGGAAAAACTTCTTCACTGTGAGGGTGACAGAGCATTGGAACAGGTTGCCCAGAGAGGTAGCGGAGTCTCCTTCCCTGGAGATATTCCAAACCCGTCTGGATGCGATCCTGGGAAGTATGCTCTAGAGGATCCTGCTTGAGCAGGGAGGTTGGACTAGATGATCTCCAGAGGTCCCATCCAACCTAAACGATTCTGTGATTCTGTGATTGTGTGATTCTGTGATGTGACATTCTCTATGCATTTTATCTTTCCCAGAGCAAGTTACTATCGCAAAGGAGGAAGAGCCATGCTTCCTGTCAAGTGGATGCCACCAGAAGCTTTTCTAGAGGGGATATTCACCTCCAAGACTGACACCTGGTAACAAATGTCTTTTAATCACCTCCACTATTCAGGGATAAGGGTCAAGAAATCTGCTACTCTTGAAAAAAAGTCAGCTTTTTTAGCAGGAACCTTTAAAGATGTCAGAACTTCCCCAGGTCCTTAAAAAAAATTGGAAATTGCTTCTCTGCATTCGGTTAGAAGCATAGCTAAAGAATTCTGAGTGAGAATTAAAAAAAATCTAATATAAATGGAGGGCAGAAAAATAGCTATACATAAATGCAGAGTATCATCTAAGGGTAATTGCAAGTGTAAGGAGAGGGCAGTTTAGATTCCCAACAAGTCTCAGCTTAAAATCCTTACAAATACATAAAATCACCATCAGAGACTTCCCTCAACTCTCAGTATCTGCCACTCAGTTTCTATTGGTGACAAGCCCTGCTTAGATATCCTATAAATGACTCTCTCTATACTGCCCAAGATTACTCCTTTGTATCATTTTTTTCTGGTGTATACAAAATTACAGCATATTTAAGCAGAAGTCCTTGCTGGTTGCTGAGGAAACAGTATTTATATACCCGCTCCTCATGTAACCTATTCTTTCTTTAAAATAAGCACCCCCTCAACAGTAGTGCGTTCATGCAGACGTGCTGGGGAACGGAAGCTTTCCGGTTGCTCAAGAACACCTTGCTTCCTATACAGTAGCTTCTTCAGTGTACTGTACTGAGACATTCCCCTACATGCCACACTGACCCAGTTTCCTAAAGTTGCTCATGATGCCAGAAGACAAGGGATAGCATATCAGAGCACACCTGGGAGTAGCCAGTCCTGAAGATTTTGAAGGAAAGTGCTGCTATTCCTGTAATGGACTATTATAAGTAATGTGCGTGTGCTGGAAATTTCTTCAACCTTTCCATCAAATAGTGACTCTTAAAATTCTGACCCTACAGAAATCTTGGCAGAACTCCCCTTGACTTCCCCGGGTCAAGGTTGTCAGTTATTTTCGGTGGTACTGCTTAACAGACCTGCGGATGACATATAAAAATGACGAGCAACCATATCACGACAAAAAAATTCATGTACTGCCTTTCATTTTCGCTGGAAGTCTCTGACTTGTTTTTATTCTTGAGCATCCTGTTTTCAAACACTCATTCAAACATCTTGAGTCTTTCGAAGGAAGGTAGGAATCTCCAGGTGAGATCCAATGGTTCTTCTTCTCAATCAGACCATACATAGCAAGGAAATACATTTCAAAGGTGGTCTGGCATTTCCTGTTCTAGAAATAACAAATGCAGCAGAGAGAACAACTTCAGAGTTATTCAAGTATTTTGAAATCTCTAAAAAGCTACTTTTGAAGCTTGAGCAAGGGTTTTGATTGATCTTTTTTTTTTTTTTTGTCAGTTGACTTGTAATCATGCAAATTACCCATTCCCGGGGCTGGCCTATAGCTTCGCTAGCTAGCTAGCTAGGGCAGTTGCTGCAGTATTACCTGAACAGCTTCGTGCAACGTTTGTGGAGGACAGATGATACCAAATTGACGTTGTTGGCTGGTTTCTGACACAGGTCCTTCGGTGTGCTGCTTTGGGAGATTTTCTCTCTAGGCTACATGCCCTACCCTTGCAAAACCAACCAGGAAGTGCTGGAATTTGTCACCAGTGGAGGAAGAATGGATCCACCGAAGAACTGTCCAGGGCCCGTGTAAGTATTTCATCACCCCCACAAGCTAAGGGATAGTGAATATCATAAGGGTTAGGCAAAGGTAACTAGACACCCCCGTTCAGCCAGCAGAAATTACCCAAATAACTTACAGTTTCCTGAAGCTTTAACACAAGCTTAAGATGTAAATATCACAAATTCCTACCCTTTTTGGTTGTTTCTGGCCAGAGAAGCAAGAGTGGGAGACTTAACTAGCTTACCCTCAATGATGATCTTTCCTGAATGTAACTAGGGAGAACAAAGAAACGTTATACTAACTTCCTACTTGCTTTGTGTGTAAACTGGAGACTTCGGTTTCTAGAGCTAGTAACCTGGCAACTGTCAGCATAAATAAAAATACATAAAATTAGTAGTAGATAATACATAAAATTAATAATAGATAACCCAGTTACGGATGTTCTAAAGCCCTTTTGTGCCAGCAGTCACCAGTGTTTCCCTACTGATAGGAATTCCCAGATAAATTAGAGTTTGTGCATGTGCATCCCAGCTCCAGTTGAGAGACTGTGTCATCAGTGCAGTCAGGGAATGGTGATTACCCAGACTGTTCCCCAGGTGTTATTGAACCTCTTCTGAGCCACTGCCATTTGTACACAGCTTTTAAGCACCATAGGATTTGCTTTAAATAGTGGTCCCCTCATGAATCGGGATCTGAAGATGCAGCAATGACATGTCCACTTTTGCTCTCCTCTTTGGGGCCTGTTGCTGAGTGCAGATCTTCTAAACCCATAATACTGAAACAATTTTTCATAATTATCTTTAACCGACACTTTATTTATTTATTTATTTATTTATTTATTTATTTTTGTTTCAAGGTACCGGATCATGACACAGTGCTGGCAGCACAGCCCAGAGTATCGGCCGAACTTCTCCACCATCCTAGAAAGAATCAAATACTGCACACAGGTATTGGTCTTTGGGATCCAGGTGGATGATAATCCATGGAATCCCAGCTATTCAAAGGTACCAGCATTAGTGCCCAAAACAAGAAGATTTAAGATTCCTGACAGACTGATCTAATTGCGTTCCCGATTGCAGTGGTGGTCTTGGCTGAACTTTCATTTGTTTCCATGTGCCCATCATAACTCTCCCATCTTCAGCCCAGCCAAAATGAGTTTATACTGTTCCTGTGCAAGCAGCTGCTTCCAGCTCTCAGCTTGTTCAGTAACAAAACGTGCTTCATTTTGTGATGGAGAGATTTTAAGAATCTCTCATCTCTTTCAAGGCCCATATTCTGACTTTGCATAGTGTTTCTTGAAAGCCATAACTGAACTGATAGGGAGGGGGGAGTGAGATATGGCACAGTGAGTTCACCACCTAGTAGCATTCTACAGCTGGATCCAACTTGCCCAAGAGAGAGAAATGATATATTGGTGACCCCTGCTTAGTCACTCATTTCAATAAAACACAGCCTCTGTTCAAAGGAAGCCCATAAATGAGAGAGGATTTTTTCAAGTTCTAACAGAACGCATTCTCTAGATGTCATATGGCAGCTTGTACAGACTGCAGGAGTATTGCCCAAACTTGATGTTAACCATGGCCAAAAGCGTTTTTTACTCTCCTAGGCATTTCTGTGAAAATGCACATGCGACAGGCTCCCTGAGGTGCTCAGGATGTAACAGGCTCTTGCGCAATCCTCTCTTTTTCAGGACCCTGATGTGATCAACACTGAGCTGCCCATTGAGTGTGGCCCAGCACCAGAGGATGAAGGGAGCACAGTAATGCGCCCAAGCATTTCCAGTGGGATAGTGCCCCTGTTGGTGAGCCCTTCTCTCACACCTCAGATGACTCCTAGAACACTCGACTCCCAACATGCTGGGCATAAACCTGGACAATGTCCACAAGAGCTGCTGGTGGAGAACCTGGGCAACTGGACTGCTCGAGGGCCCAGCCTGCCCTGCCTCAGTGATTTCAACAGCGGGTCCTGGTTTCAGCAGAGCTCAAACCAGAAGTTGGAGCTCAGCAAACCATCAACTCACAGACTGAAGAACAAAACCAAAAACCTTTGGAACCCAACCTATGGATCATGGGTGCTAGACAACCTGTGTCACTCCAGCCCCAGCTCCAAGCTCAAAGCAACTCCAGAGCGAGAAGATTCAGGCTTTGATGGGAATTGCAGTTCTTCTCCTAGTTCTCGAGCATCTCCAGCATCTCCAAGTCGAAGCAACTGCCCTCACCTGGATATCGGTGGGATTGAACTGGTGAAACTCCAGACTTTCCCCTGCGGCAATGTAAATTATGCATACGATGATCTGTGCTATAGTACTGACCACCAGCCATCAGCTTTGGCAGGGGCCAGAGCAGCTGTGCTAAGGAGCTCCAGTCTGCGTAGAGATGAGAAGCCTTTTTATAAACCAGAGAAAACATCAAGAGAGAGGGACTCTGGGCTGTCTTTGTCAGATGACTTGAGTGTTACACCAGTATAACAGAAAAGATTCTTCCAAAGATCAGGGAACGTGTATGTCTGGAAAGGCAAACTTGAACTGCTTTCTATTTCATTTACTTCCTCCATTCTTCAGATGGATGATGTTTCAACATCAGCAACGTTCTGCTTTCTCCTTCTACCTGCTGGATCCCCAGATCTTCAAAGACAGTTGCATTTCTCTCTCTGGCCATCAAACCTGTTCCACTGAACCAGTGCCTCTGCTTAGCTGCAGAGAACAATGGCATTGCTGCACTGATTCAGAATATGGCACCTAATAAAAGGAGTCCTTTTCAATGTGCTCAGGTGAAAAAGAAAAGGACCTAGCATCCAACCACAGCATTTCGATGGAAATGATAACCAACACAGGCTGTTCTTCTTTCTGAGCTAAGAAACCAGAAATGCGTGCTGTGCCAGCAGCAACTAACTTGCAAAGGCTGCTGTATTCCCTAGAGCTTTGTACAGTCCTGTTGACTTATTAATGATGCTCATGCACTGACAGGGAAGTAAATAAATAGCAGCCACGTTTGCACCTGTTTTCTTAGCAGACTCTGTGAAGAAGATGAAAATGAAGCTGCTGTTCAAATTGGAAGCAGTAGGGAAGATGTGTGTGTTTTGAAAGTAAGCAGTGAAGAAGAAAACAAATTCAGTATTGAAAAAATAGTTGGTGGAGGTGATGGAGTCCCTCTGAATAGTGAAGAAAATGTGCTGCTTGCCTCAGGGTGTTGCTTTCCTCCCAGCTTCTGGCATGGAAGGGGCAGGAAGTTTTCCGAGTAATGGTGAGCTGCATGGTGTGGTGAGAAACAGACTTGCTTTTCTTTTAATGGACAGTAGTTGGGATGAACTTCATTTTTGTAAGTAAGTACGTTGCTATTCAGCAGTAATTTCCTGTGCTATGTTGGTAAGCATTAAGCTGAGATTTTTAGGGTAACTGTGTAGCATGCGGTGCTCTGGAGTTCTTGTTGGTTTTACTACATACTCTTCTGAGATGCGTTCAACAGAGTAAGGCCAGGGAGGGGCAGAGTGAAGGGGAACCTGTTTAATACAGCTGTTATCTTACAGTGCCCCTTACACAGCAGGGCAGAACAGCTCAACTCTTTGGGCTGAAGCCATTACTTGGCTTCACGCACCTGAGCAGGCCGTTTATTGTTTTTTGACTCCCAAGCATACAATCCTGGTGGTTAAGGTAAGTGGTGTTTCTTTTGAAGAGATACTATTTCTAAGGTTTTCTTCTGTTGTTTAGGCTCTAAACTGTTGTTTACTGGTGAAATCTTGCAAAACAAGGAGACTGAAAAGGTAAATCATTGGGTTTAAGCCTGAAATAGCTCAGAAGCATTTTGTCCTTGTCCCACACCTGAATGTTGCACTGCCAGCCTACCACAGCAGAGGAGAACTTACGGTTGCAGAGAATGGGAAATGACAGAAAATGTAGAGCTGTATAACAAGTCAGTGATAGCACTCAGGGGTCTAAGCGGTGGCAAGTGCAAGGACAGAAAAGGTTTCTAAATTACATGCTGCTTTCACATGTAATCAGGCTGTGTGCTGAGGGGTCCGTCTTAGACGCTGTCTAGTTCCTCTCTGAGGAGAGAAGTGCTGTGGCACAAGCTTCATGCATAGTGATTCCTGCCTGTTCAGGCTGAAGGCGTGGGTTGGCAGGAGGTGGTTTGCTTTGAACACACACTTCATGTCCTCTGCATCATTCAGGAATGGATACTACTGATGTGGGATACAGAAAAGCACAGCGTGAAGAGTCGGATTCCATCTTTTGCCAGCAAAGTGCGTCTTCATCTCAGTTTTGGTTTGTCTGTGTGACGTTGTATTTGTTTCCTAGCTTCCTATATTCTTAGGCCTTTGGTTTTAGAATGAGCGATTTTATAAACTCTTTTCAGAATCTGTCTGGTGATGATGGCTCCTTGTAGCAATGACCTTTATGGTAGGGTAAAACAAATCACAAATCCAGGCTGTGCAATGACAGCTGGTCAGAACAGAGGTGTCGTCTGGCCGTCCGTGCCCCCCCCCCCCCCCCCCCCGGCAGTGCATAGGCAAGGTCCAGGAGTAGTTTGGGAGCAAAGGGCTTAGTAACCAAGTCAGAAAGTTTTCTTTGTCTCTCACCCTCCCTTCCCATTTCACCTTCCTTTTAGCTCTGTGGCTTGGTCATTGCCTATCCAATCATATCCCCTAGGAGCTTGTGCAGCCTGGTTAGATGAAGCACAGTAAGCAGGGTCTCTCCATTGAATTCTGGCAGTGCATTTTTTTTCAGTTGATTGGCAAGAGACAGCCCAGTCGTTCCTGCAGAGGCTAACACGCATTTTTTTTTAACATGTCTCTGGCTGGTCACCTCGGAATATTGCCAGTAAAGAATAAATGAATTTATTCTTAGCTAACTGGAATAACACCAGCTCATCTTCAACATCCTTATCTTTCCGATTACATTAGTCCCATGGTTTAATGCATTAGCAGCTTTTTTGCCCAAAGGAGAGCTAGCAGCTCTCCAGCTGTTACTACTGGGCACCAGCAGCTCAGCCCCGGCCGCCATGCGTTTGTGATAGGCAAGGCCCTAGCAGAGCGCAGTGATCGTGGTGCAGTTGTGACGGCGGTCACGTTGGAGCACCTTCCCACCTCTGTTTGCATCAGGCTCCATTCTGAGCAGAGCAGTGGTGGGTCATGACTATGTTTTTACAGGCCAATTATGACTCTGCTTTCAATCCTCCTTAGCCGTCAGTTTGTACAAGAAAAATTGATGGTTAGTGAGGCGGGAGATACTGACTTGTTTGGAAGTCAGGGGAAGCTGAGACGTGTATCACCTTTCCTTTCATCTGTGAACTTTCTGTAAGGTAGTAGGCACTAGACAGCTCCTTTTCACACAAGTAAGATTCCAGGGAGAAGCAGGTATGTCCATATGGTACCTGCTGTCCATATGGTACCTAGCTTGAGCCAACATTGTTTTCCCTATACATATCCCTTGCCTTGGCTTAATTCACAAATTTAGAATGGCAAATAGTGATAAAACTAGATAACTCACTGGAAAGTAAAGTGAGAGAAGAGCAAAGCTGGAACCACAGTTTCTATTACTCTCCAATGCCATAAGCAGGCTTGTCTGCAGATCATCTCTTGTTTTATAAATAAAACACAAGTTCTTCCATCCTGCGCTGTGGACAACGTACGTGTTTTTAACTGAGCGGTTTAAGTATTCACAGGAAGATCATTGGAAAAGCTGCACTGAGCCAGACTAAAACTATACAGCCCGGTATCTTCTCTCTGCCAGGTGTCTGAAGGGCAAAGATAAGAGCAGAGTGAGCATGTAGCGATTATTTCCTGTATTCTCCTGGTCTACAGCAGTGCGTAGCTCGGGCACTTATGGCGCTAGAGGCGGCGTCTTGTAGCAAGACAGAACCTGGATGTGCACATAGTTAACGGGCACTAAGAGAAACAGTTGAGAATTTTATAAGAATTAGCAACCTATATTTTCTTTATGCTCTTAACTCTCTCAGCTGGAAATAAAGATAGGTAAACTATCTTCTGTCTGCACAGTTATCATCCGTCGTTGATCTGAAAAAAAAAATTGTGTATCTGATCTCTTAGTTGCTTCTTAAAAAAACCCCTCACAAGAGTGAATTTTTAATGGATATCTTAGAGGAACTAATGCTAATATTACTCCTGTTGTGATGGTGAAATGCTACATGCTTTCCAAAACATATTTATCTTAAAAAAACAAAAAAGCCAAAAAACCCCATATACCATTACATTCAAATCCTACAATTCTGAGAAGAGGCTGGGAGAAAAAAAAAAAAAAATCACTATTCCCACAATCACAGATTTCATACAGTGCCCAAGTTGTAGCATTTCAAAATACATTCTGCTTGAAATTGTTTTTTAAGACACTTTTAATGAGTAATGAAAGAGTGAACCCACACTGTCAGAATTATAAGAATTTACTTTGGCAATTGAAAGCCAAAAAAAGATTTTTCTCCATAGAGGAATGACATAAACTGGAGGTCTGGGGTTAATTCAATCCTGTAATCCACGTGAAAAGTCTTCCAACACGTCCCCCATGGAGAATCAGCCACCTAGAGGAATAGTATAGCTTATTTTTCCAGATGGTCATTGTGTTTTAACATAAGTTGTTGGTAGTTACACTATTTTTAAATACAAGTGTATTTATATTTTTCTCTGGGCTTTACATTAATAGTTTATGATGTTGCTCATACAGCCTCATACCTACATTTTAAAGAGTGGACTTTATAACACACGCTAAAACAATAACGCAAATTTCAATTTGTCTTTGCCTTCTCTTCGCTCCTGTTGCTATTCTGGTTCTGTTTTCTTTGTTATCTATCTGTAGTTTTTCCTCTCTCCTCTGTTTTTTTCCAAATGTTTTGCATCTTCATTTTCCCTTCAAAAAACCCCTAATTTTTAACTGTGAACAGATCTAAGGTGTGTCCCCTTCTCATCATCTCTTTTCCTAAAGTAGGTGCTCCACTAATTTGCCAGGGCGGGTAGAAAAAGAAAGCTTTGCAGGCATAACTAGTTATGAGCTTTTACAAGTATAACTTATTCCACCCCCCACTATCCTCTCCCTCATTACCCTAAAGAAAAGAAAATTCTACTGGTAGGAGTATGGTTTTCCCTGATGTAATTGCACCTACACAGCTGTGTCAGCCAGGGCCCACAACTCCTCATACACCTGAGCAGCAGAGCTATGCAAGACAAAGTTTCTCCTGTAGATCTGGCCTTGCTCTCTCTCCTCCTGGCCACCTACCCTGTTCGATCTGATGCAGAGACATGAAGGGAGACACCACTATCCACAAGTCTTGTCACATGACTTTTTCATTTAATTGAATTCCTTTTGATTTGTCATTACCTCTGAACAAGGCAGCACTTCTTGCCAACTTACTGTTTTGGTTGACTACTGTACATAAGTAGATGACAAGCCTGCTTCTATGCAATTTAAAGTTGGACAACTGTATACTTCTATATTTGCAACACAAAATAAAGAGACACTAGTGGTTGCTATTTGTCTCTGTCTCTGTTAAATATTCTTGGCACTCAGGTGAGAGGACGCTCTTGCTTGCTGATAAATGTTGCCAGTTCTAGAGCCTGAAGTCCAGGAACAGAGTACTACTTGCTCCCTGCTGGTACAGGAGGCGCCCTGTGGAAGTTAGCTGTGCTGAAGACAGCGAGTACCAGTTGATATGCTTTTTTTTTTTTTTTTTTTTTGAGGTCTGTAAGACTATGAACTGAGATTTTTGAGCTAGAACTTACCTCTGTGGAAGCTGTCAGACTTTGTGTGGATCAGGTGCTAAAGCAAACAAACCTAATTCGTTTTGGCTTTAGATGTCTTCGAGCCAGTTTTGCTTTAGGAAATATTAGATGCTAAAGACTAAAAGCACAAGAAACACTGAAAGAAGTGATTTTTCGCTCATCTGTAAAGAAATTCTTGAGGAAAAGAAATGACCCAATCATAGTTTATGTCTTTTTTTCCTCCAGTCTCATTTATTTAGTAGCATACACACTCTGGAGCAACACACACTCAACCAATACAGTCAATGTCAAAAGTGACCATGGTCAGCAATTGCATTGTAGTGTTCAGAACGGATGCACTGTGGATGATACAAGCCATTTGATCGCAGTACCTTAAGAATAACAAAATAATAACAGCAATACAAAAAAAGATAAGCAAGAGCCCGTTGAGATACTTAGGGGTTTGGTCCAACTCCCTTTGAAATCTTCCCGTATAGTAGGAACTGGATCAGATGATGTTAAGTGAATTCTCCCTCTGTGTACAATGAAGAGGGATTTAATTTGCACCACTCTGGATGAAAGTTGACCAAATTCGTATCCTTGTGCGGCCACAACACCCATCATTTTTAACTTAGCCAATATATTTGTCTGTCTGTTTCTTTCTATATTGCACCATCCTCCAAAGAATCTCACAGCATCTTGCAAGCAATAATGAAGTACAGCCTCACACCATTCCTGTGAGGTAAGGGTACTACTCCCATCTGTAAAATAGGAACAAAACTGAGGCCTAGGAGATAGTTGTAAAGGCCAAAAAGCAAGTCATTGACAAAGTTAGGGAGATATGTCCTACTGCTAGATTCACACAAGAATGAAGCACCTACAGCACTGAGCATTGCTGCATCTAACTAGTGAGGACCTTGGTGCCTAATGGCACTCCCAGCCAAGGTTAGCTGTACAACACCAAGGTGCCACTGAGCCAGCACGTCTCACCATCTCGCCAAGGAAACACCGGTACTTTCAGTGTCTCCAGAGTGAGGCAGTATCTCAGCTGAGGCACTGAAGAGCTACATTCTGGACTCGTTTGTGAACAAGTGTTTTGGTCATCATGCATCAGCTCTTTTATGTTAAATGCCTGGGCAAAGGCGTTATGTTGACCTGTCAGTAAATGGAAGCTTGTTCAAGGTTAACTTACCCCACAGTGAAAGGCGGCTACGCTGCTCCCTTACACCAGCAAGTAAGTGTACACAGGCAGGCACTCTGAAACATCTGATGTGAGTCAAAACATCTACCTTACCCTGTGGTAATTTGCTCATGAGCTCATAGCCTCCAGGCCTCACTTGGAGTCCTGCACTTGCAGTTTGCTAATTAAAAGCTCCCTCCTCCTCTCTTTTCGTGAAACAGCAGCAGAATGTTAGACTGTGGCTTCCTCCCTTCTAACCCCATGACAAGCCAAAGGGCCATTTCAAAACAAACATGATAGGACTATTTCTGGTCTAAACTGAGTTTCCAGGCCAGGGTCTGCTGTAGTACAGGTCTTTTTTTTCCTTGGTCTTTGCAACTACTGCACAGGAATAAATCATTTCCCATGTTTTCCCCCAAGACTCTGTACTGCAAACCATCCTTCCAGGTACTAGCAGCAGCAGGTGTTCTGGGTTTTTTTGTTTGTTTGTTTTTGAAGCTACTGGTATCACTTTGTTTCTAGTTTTCCATTAGAACTGAAGAGTCATTCTAAAAGTTCGTCTCAAATTGTCTTCTGATATTTAAGCATCAGTTTTTATATTCTAATCCCCCCCCTCCCCCAAAGATAAGTTGCACTGGCACAAGAGGTTCACACATGTGGTAACAGAAGAAAGAAATTTGACTCTGGAGGTTAATTAAAATTAGACAAGAAAACCACTAATGAATTGTATCACCTTAACAGTCTCCTTTCTAACTTCTCTAGTTGTAATTTTATTTTTAATTGTGGGAGGACTGCTTGAAATTGCAATTTTATAGAAAAAAAATCTATATATTAAAGTCCTTTCCTGTGACACCTATTTACTTCCTATTCTCTTTAAGCACTGCTAACAGACGGGCTACCTGGTTGCTGCAGGAAAGGAGGAAAACTTTAATTCTATGCAATTCACCACAGATGATTAATTTGTTATCTCATAAAAATAAGTTTGGAGGTATCTGGAATAATCTGTGTGCTTGCTGTTGAAGGCTCACCTTCACTTACTTAAAAAACAAACAAACCAAAAAACCAAGTTTCTTGACAGCCTATCTTTTTCAAACAACTGTGTAGCCCTTCCGCAGCTCTACATTCACTAAGTTTAAACCCTCTGAAATACCTAAGTGTAAAGAAAAAGTCATTAATATATCATGAAAATAATACTGAGAGGGACTCTGGGAGGCCACAGAACAATTCTGACTTTGCAGTGAGCTGCAAAAATAATTACCAGTTTCAAACAATTTCTGTAGGCAAAAACATTTCCATTTCTCAGTGCTTCCTGCAGACTCCCCGCTCTACCTTGTTGAACTTTGAATGAACTGATGAATATTGATAATACTTATATTTTGATAGTGTTTATACTGCTAGCATTTAAAGAACTGTTCAAGTGACCAGAGACAACCAGAGCTGACATGACAAGAAAAAGTATCACTTCAGTCTTTCTTGATTTTTAACACGTCAAACTGAATTTTCTGTGGCTACCCCTGGGCCACAGCAAAAGAGAATCAACCACAGATGGTCCTGTGACTCCAGACAAGGATTAGGGAATCTCATATATTGACATTCCTCCCTCTAAACTCCCCCTGAGATAACAGCTGATAGCTCAGAGGAAGGATGCCTAGGACTGGATCTCACCATTAGTGTAATGTTGTAAATGCAAAAACATTTACTTCATGATCTCTGTGCTGGTCTATATATTCAAGTGGCAGCCTCATGTTTGGGACTAGGATAAACAGGGCCAAGAAGTCACCTCTTTCGTATGCATTAGGAGAGCGTCAAAACTATGGTCTAAGAAATCACACTGGTAGCAGGGTTACTCCTGTGGGGGGTGGGGGTTATATAGGGTTTTAGCTTTAAAAATAATCAAATCCTGAAAAAAAAAAAAGTCCTTTGCTTCCCACACTGTGCACCAAAAAAAGAGTCGTTACTGATTTTTTTTTTAGAGCTGCAGTTCAACTGCAAGGGGCCAGCCTTGACACGC